TTTTTTGGGTAATTTCGAAACTTGTGATTTTCCCTACAGTGTAAACATTAAGCTGGTGCCAGATAAACGCTTTGCGTGCGAAAAAATGTCCAACTCCCATCTTTTTGCGCCGGTTTAATGGATGTGTATAGTTACACAGTCAAAACAAAACAAAACATGAAATAAAGTGTTTATATAAAAAAAAAATAATAAAATTAAAAAAAAAAATTGTTTGGAATTGCTCGGAGTGGGGACCGAACCTGGGTGATACCGCGTTTCTACTTCAACAGCAAAAGAATATTTAGAATCTTATTTTACCATTTTAAAATCGCGTTCTCCTCATTTTAAAATTAAAATAATGATTTTGCCATAAAATGATTTTTAAGTTGACTATGAAAGAGTTAAAATGGTGATTACCATAAAAGACAATTTTAATCTTCAAAACCTTTTTCTAACTTCTCTGACTACGGGCCATAAAATCCACAGCAATTTTTAAGGGGTAAAAAAGCAATACAAAATTGTTTTCTTGGTGTTCATTGTGGCAAACCTTTTGCGTTGTTGTTGTTGTTGTAGCGGCTTACTAAACAACTTTGTACAAATTTTATAAAAGCGGCTAATTTAAATTTTTGCTACAATGACTCTTGCAGTTGAAAATGTGTTTTTCCACACCAACAGAGGAAATGTTTAAAATTAAGTTAATATTTTTGAAGCCTCAAAAAAGGACCGTTTCATATTTAAAAAGGCTAAAAAAGAGCTAGAGGATAAAAGCGAATTTCTGAGGCAATTTAAAATAAAAATGGCAACACTGCTCCATACATATACAGGGTGTCCTTGATATAACGTCCAGCCCCTCTAAAATGGAGGATTTGTTTTTTTTTTGAAGAAGGCAAAAATACGACCTACGGAATCGGCGATGCTCTATCATTTGATGGTATTATCGACCGGAAGTAGGTTAAACTGACCGGAAGTCCATTTTTCGAAATTATCCAGATCTGTTTGCTACTTTTTTCTGCCTTTTACAAACTCTAAATGACCGTCGAATTTCAGTTCGTCCTGGACTTCTGAAACTAGTGAAAATATTTTTATTCGAAAACGAAAAAAATATAAATTAGCAAGTCTAGGTTGCTCCATCTTGGTCGTATTAACGACTTCCGGCCCATTTCTTTAATCCTGCGAACACAAATACATAACTTTTGTCGGACTTTGTTTTCGAATGAACTTCCGGTTAAAACAATGGACTTCCGGTCGGTTGAACACAATTACGGTCAAAATCCGAAGAAGGAAATACAATCGAAAGATAGACCCGACTTGGTTATTCATATTTTTTCATTTTCCCATAAAAACATTTTCACTCATTTCCGAAGCCCAGGACGAGTTGTAGTTCGAGATTCATTTAGAAAGTTTTAAGCTTCAAACAAAGTTACGTATTTTTATCCTCCGAGTCCGAATCTGTAGCCAAAACGTGTATGATCAATTTAAAAAACAAAACAAAAATTCGCTTCCGGTCAATTTAACGAAATTTCGGTCGAAACCGGAATTAAATACAGATGATAATAAAAATTTGATATTTGAAACCAAAGAAAAAGGGGTTTGAAATTTTTACAATAAGATTACCATACAAAAATTATTATCGTTTGCTCATATTGTGGTAATATTGAGGTGATCTTATCATTTTGTTCCACACCTTATGTATGTATGTAGTTCTCATATGTGGTCCATTCAACAACTTATTTAAGAAACGAATTGATAAACTTAGTCAACAGACACCGGGGTTCTGACAAAACCTGTTTAAAAAAATTTATTGAAACTTTCTTTGGTAAATTTTGGTACTTGCTTTCTTGAGCATTTGCTTTATTGGAAGTCTTTTGTTACAAGTACAACTACAAAATTAAGGTTAAATATAAATATAAGTGCGTTTATAAATGCGTGTTAATTACATTTCGATTAATTTATACATGCACAAGCCATTTTCACTGCGCTTCGAATATAATGTTTATCGTTAATTATGTATGGAGGATCGTGGTTATATCGATGAC